ATGATTTGTGGGTGATCATGATTATTTTCTTTCATGTTTTCGGCTGGGAGAATTCAAGGGGAGCTATACATCGCCTTGTTTTAGACTGCACGCTTTTGTGTACGTTTTCAACGATGAAAAGGTCTAACATGATTCTGTCTTTGACAGCCATTTGGGAGGTTGCTTTGATATAAATCTCGGGCTGCACCCTTTAACGTTATTATGAGAAAAGAGACTAGATACAGACTATGATAAAGGGTAGACGGTTATCTTTGGCTAGAGCAATGCTAGAGTTATGAAAGCAAACAACGTTAGAATAAATCAAGCCTGTTGAATACTCATGTCGTTATTGTTATCTTTGTGAAATATAAGACAGAATGTGGCCTTTCTTGACAAAGTGGGTTCGGTGAGGGGATACCGGATAAACAGAATGAATATACACTAGCAGGAAGTGCAACTTTTATAGAGATGGCATAGTAGATAATAATATGAACATCTACGTTTAATTTACTTTCGATGTATCGCTTCTTGTCTTTTGCTCTTATTCCATTCCTTTATTCACTATTGTGTCTTGCACCCAATGTTCGATATTACATATTTGTGCTTAGAAAAACTTTAGACATTTACCCCCCTCCCCCCAACCCAAAAAACAACCCAATAAACATTCAATTCTGGAGAGAGAGAGAGAGAGAGAGAGAGAGAGAGAGAGAGAGAGAGAGAGAGAGAGAGAGAGAGAGAGAGAGAGAGGGAGAGAGAGGGAGGGAGGGGGGGGGGGCAAAAACCGATACAGAGACAGAGAGACAGAATGGTTTGGGGGAGGGGGGTTGTTGGAGAGAGACAGGTGCGGAGGTAAAAGTTAACTGATATTTTCTTCTATCTCGGAGGAAAATGGCTTCAGACGTTTGTCAAGGGAAGCAAAAAAATGAAACATAGGGCCTTTTTTAGGGGTGGGGGGGGGGGGAAGGGTTGAAATCGAAAGGTTTAAGTGATTTATTACTCAGGGGGACAGATCACTATAGAAATACGACTGGTGCAAAACCAGAACATACGAATGGGAAAATGTAGGTGTTCGGTGTTATCTTTCTGCTTTAATTGCTATCACAATCGATGCATTTTCAACGGCTGCGGTTGAAGTGAAAATTGTGTCTTAGTAGACCATACTTGGCAAAAAAGACCACTTTACAGTTATATTTATGACTAATGGAATACATCTCGAGAACAATAGACATACTCTATTACTTCAATAACTAATGTTATAAATAAAGCAAAATAAACCATGTTTTCAAATTTGTGGAACTAGTCGCGATCGACTTCCGCTGGTAGCGGCAAAGAATTGTTTCACCTCCACCATCACCCCCACCCCCTTTCCACCTCCCAGGGCCAGCTCTTAACGAGCTCTGTGTTTGCTGCCACTGTTGTAAAGGGTGATTAAATTTCTTGCGATTTTGCAAATGACTGCCTATTCCTATTAACTTTTGCACGACTGGGCCGATCCCTCGAATTTGTCTGGAAAAGTGTGAGGGTAACCCGCGGGAAATTCCGTTCGCTGTCTCAATTGGTTGAGTAATCGCGAGCCGGTTGGTGTCAAGAACTACTTCAAACCGCCATAATTTGATCCCATTAACTTGTAGTCTTGCTCAAACTGGTATTGGTGGTTTGTCAGTGTTTGAACAGTCGATATTAAATGCTTGCGTGGTCTTGCGACTTCCACCGCGAACTGTTGAAGGTGAACGAATGCCTCGAGGGTGGTTGTTAGGCATGCCTTGTGGGCTTTGTACTTTTACTTTAAGAAGGCTATTTCTTTTTGATAATGATGATTTCAGGCATGATTACGTTTTCCCGGGGGAAATATTTTTTAATGCAACAATTTTCTTCCAACATGGTACTGTCACTTGCTTAAGTTTCATATTCTTTATTACACAGCATACTACACAGCATAAGAAACGAAAACTAAAGGGGCGATGAGGCCATGTTCAATTCCGTACGATGAACAAAAACCACTCCACACAATTTAATTAAATGGCGGTATTATAATTCAGAGGATGCTCCACTACAGGTATAATAAATGTGTCATGACGCGATGGACTCTGATGCTCGTCAAATTTTGGGCATGTGAAGTTATTGGTTATATATTAAAGCTTATAATTTTGTCTTTCTTTCGATGAAAAAATAGGGGGCTCTCGTGGCCTAGAGGTTAAGGTGTTGGCCTCTCATTCAAAGGTACCAGGTTCGAATCCGGGTAGCGACCGAAACATTTTCTTCTATAAAAATTGTCTCCTTTCATCCCCTTTCCTGCTCTCAAGCAATGTTCTGTTGTCTGCTTACATTTCCACTTTCTACCCCCACCCCCTCACCTCCTTTGCCCCCTCCTCTGGGCTCTTGACTCTTTCTGCAGCCTTTCTACTGTTACTCCTTGGCTCTTCCTTACTGCTGTCGTTCTGCCACACCCCTGATCTTCTGCTTGGAAAGATCTACACCTAGCCTTCTTGGACAAGGGCGAAAAATCTCGGAGGGCCCGTGT